ACACATCCAATAACTGCGACTATTTGTGTACTGTTGACTGTTACTTGGATTGCTTTGAGACAGACGAGCCGCACATGGGAAAGACAGGAGTCGCAGTGATTACAAAGCTGAAGAAATGTTTCGCCACCCATGGAATTCCTGATACACTCCATAGTGACAAGGGATAGCTTTTTAATTCGAATGAACTTTCAGCTTTTTCCGCAATGTATGAGTTTGAACTCGTGACCAGCTTACCAGAGTATCCGTAGAGCAATGGCAAAATTCAGTAATGACGTCCACGAATTTGATAAAGAAAGTTGCCAGTACCAACGCAGATCTCAAGCTTGCCCTACAGGACGGGCGAAACACTCCAACTGAAGCTATGAAGAGTTCACCTGCACAGCGAATGTTCGACAGGCGCACCAGAATCCTGCCGCCGAATTTAAGAGAACTCCTGGAACCCCAGCTAGTCAGAGATGTGAGAGAGAGAAAGTTACAAAGGAAAGAAGTTCAGCCACACTATAATAACCAAAACGCCAAAGAACTTCCAAGTCTTACTGAGGGTGTTGTTGTAGGCATGAAACCGCAAGCCTAAGATAGAAAGAGCAAAAGGACCAAGGCCCAACTTAAACAACAAGTAGACTTCAGATCTTATGCTCTTAGAAATGAGGACGGCAGGTTGTTCCGGAGAAACCGCAGACATCTTTGACAGTCACGAGAACCGTTTGTGTTTAAAGATGCTGATATTGAAATTCCAAGTCAAATTCTGAACTGTCCACCAACCGAAGATCCAATAGAGAGAAGCACAGAACACCCAATCCCCAGTAAGCAGGCAGACCCATGACCACAAGCCATCAGGCCAGTGTCACCAGCTGATTGTCACAAGAACAGTGCATTTACTCGTAGCGGACGCTCTATCCGTCTCCCCTAACTACTTGAAAGACTATGTTAAGATCTAGTTTTTTTTGGACTTTGTCAAAACTTGAAAAAGTTGTCTTTTTTTAAGGGAGATGTATGTAACCGCTTCCATTAAAGCTAAACGTTACCGCGTCCGAAAGAGCTGCAAAATACTTATGGTTTGATAAACGTCTCCGTGATTAGTTCAATTTAAGACAGAAAATTATAGTTAGCGTTTTAGTTCAGGATAAGACCTCGTGTAGTCAAGTTCGTTTCTAAACTAGAAGATAAGTTAGACCGTAATCCTCGATAGAGTAGTCAAGACCCGCGAATAATTGTTGGTAAGCAACAATTTCTTTTGTAATTATGTTAACTCGTAGTTGTGATTCAAAGTGAAACCTATGGCTAGTTTTTACTTTTCTTGGTTCTTTTAATTGTCACGCGCTCGTTGCCCAAATCGATATCATTCTTGAAGCTATGATCTCACAATACTTAGGTAATTTCTTCACGTAATTATTTCAGTTGACCGCTTCGATATAAAAACTCCTCAGAGAAAAGGAAAGGAATGAAGAAGGAAAAGATCCTTTATTGGTTTGGTGTTTATCGTGCGCGCATGTATCAACCCGGGAATCGAGTGCAAATTCTAACTTAAAAAGGAAACATTTACAATGTAAGGGAAGAGATAAAATGAAAAAGTTGAAACAGTTCAATGTTCTTAAAGTCTAATAGACACAGAACACAACCCAGTTGATTGAATGTGCAGATAGCCTCTCGGTTTGTCACAGCAGCAAGGAAACGTTAGCTAATTAATTAATCAAAACATGCAGGAAATGAGGGTTTTTCCGGGAGGACCCGATATCTCCCAGCGAATTAAATCTTTTGACCTATTATTCTCACATATTTGTTATTTCATGATACTTTGAGCATTTCACCCTCTGCCGGTTTTCATGAAGACACACTCTTGACGAGGTTTTCACCGATGGTGTCCCTCAGCCAAGTTTCCGTAAAGAGCTAAATCCGGGCTCCAATCTGAAATAACTGATCGTACTCTGTCATCTTCGGATCGATAGATATAGCATTAGCTAGGGGAAGACTGACACCATGCTCCTTGGCTTGCGTTGCCTAGGATGACTGTCTCAGCAGGGACCCTTGAGAAAACACATTCTCACGCTGTTTTGGTACCCACGGGGCGCTTGGGCCGGGCTTGCGAGTGACAACGAGAGTAAACCACTGGAATGGACAATTGTTTTGACTGCCGGCGACGGAAGCGTTAATCTGAATATTTGGTGTAGTAGACGAAGGAATATGCAAATTTCCCTCTTCATGGCTGCCATTCTCGTAGATATAAATTGGTTTGCCTCCAGAACTAACCCCAGAACAAGGTAATGGATGTTCAGCTGTATGATTCAATAACAGGGCTCTTTGATATCTCTTTATTCATCCATGAGAGCTGCGACGCATCGGTCTGATACGAGATATGCCGAGAGTAGCCAAGTGACACCACATGACAGAAGAAAGTTGGCTCTCGCAATTTGATGAGGAGGACAAAGACCTCAAAGAAGCACTTGTATAAACTGAAGCCATGTAGAACCGACGGTAAGGATAGGCTGGATTGGATTTTAGGTGTAAAATTGCTCGTAACTCCGAAGTTGATGTGGAGCAAAAAGAAGCATGTGCTGCTAGTCAGGCGCTCATGTGACTGGAATTTAGCATTGGCATTAATTCTTATTTTCAAGATGTATATTTGAGAGAAATAAAACAAACCAACCAAAGCCGTGCAACTCCGTGCATAAAACTTTTTGGAAAAACATTCGAGACACTCATGTGAAGGATGATAAAACATCCCAATGGGAAACTGACATAATATTTCGGGAAATGATGCCAATTCGCAGATCTAGAACGTGTCCCTTTAGTCGGAGATCATGAAGTTAAATATTTACAGGATCAAGTGAAATGAAACTTCAGGTGTGATTTTAGGCGATGCTTTGTTAACTCAGCAAAAAGGAAAAATCTGTTCAAAACAGCAGGAACATGGAGGAGGTTCTTCAGCTGCTTGAAAATGCCGCTGACTAGCATGCTTGTTGAGCGGTTTGGAAGTAGTGAAAACATCATCCCTCGGTTCCAGACTATGTCAATTTCCCTCCTCCACCCTTCCCCACCCAGACTAGTCCCTAAATCCCCTTGAATAACCTCTTCGAAAGGCAGAGCTATGGATTTTTAATATAACGGACGCAAGAATATAGACTTACTGGAGCGCCGCTTTTAGGCTTAGCTAAGTCTATATATTAACATTACACTACAGGACTGTCTCTAAAAGGCCTGCTGGCCCTCTCTCATCAGGTGCATGAAACATTGACCGACTAGGTTCCCTTTGTAAGCTGATGGTTTAAGCATACCTTATCAGGTACTTGCTTGCATGCCAGCACACAATAGCCATGCCTGTGCCTTGTTTGCATGTGATCAAGAACTTCCATTATGCCCAATTTGCACCTCTCAATAAGTGAGGACTACTGTAATGCCTGCTAAAAAATTTCTGGCCTCTGGGCAAGAAACCTTACAGGGGGCAAGCCGATGAGGTTGAGTTATCAACTCATACCTGTTATTTCACCACTCCACATGATTCTCAGTTACCATGTCAAAGCAAGATGTGTAATCTCAACAAGAAAAGCCATTGACAAAAGAGCCCTCTCCAAGTGACCTACATTTCAAAGCAAAAAGGCTTTGCCATGCATCACATTCTTAAAAAGCATCAATAGCTTTTCTCAGTTGACTTAATTCAAAAGAAGAAATATGAGGTAGATGTACTAGGCAATTCAAGGTTTCTTCACTTTGTTGCTGCGCATAGCCAACGAAAGGTTGAACTCCCGTTTCAAACTGATAAAAGTACCGAGTTTTCAACATGTAACCTTCGTTTTGCCTTTCTAGATTTTGCAATCCTTAGACTATCCTTCTTTCCTCTTCTTTCTTAAAGGAAACCTCCGCTCTTTTAACAAATAGCCCTCAAGTTGTTCCAAATATACTTCTTAATAGATCTGACATAAAAAAAGAATTGCCATACAGTGTAATCTGGTTTTTTATACATATAATTCAAATCTATAAGGAAGTACAAGTTGCTGCTGACAATGTTCAGTTGGGTCCTTAGGCACGTGATGAATTTCCTCAGGCTCTTCAAGCACCCTAACATTTTGGGGTTCAGTAAGGGATCCAGATAGACTCTTTGTGTGAGGCTGCAATGATATAAGAGGACATATACCTTCCCTTCTTGCCGCTTAGATCCTGGATATCCTGTTTGTCCAGCATGGTCTATTCTGATCATTCGATACCGATAAGTCCTTTTTTTCTAGATAGTCTGGAAATTTGTAGGGAGAGGGGTTGTGTACACCATTGTTTGAAATCATTTGTATCTGTGACAGGCCTTCTCTAGTTTCCTCACAAGCTACCTCTACTTTGGGACCCAGTGCACCTCGTTCCAGAGTGTTCTAAGCTTGGTGGGGGGTGCAATGCTGGCAGTAGGTGTCTTTTGTTTTTTTTTATAACCTCTGCACAAAAGAGGAAGGATAGCCATTGCAAATAATAACAAATAACATATGTTTCCTCTCCTTAGAGATAATGGAGGATTCTCAGAAGTCACTCACAACACAGGACAACACCCTCTCTGGAACTAATTTAAGTTCATTGATAGTGACTCAGCTTTCTAAACACGCCGGGTGAAAGAGGCAATTCACTTTAGACTTCACCCTAACAACATCAACAGGGATGGTGGAAGCCTGGATGCCGACAAGTAAAACACAACAGCAGGAGAGCCATGCAGCAATGGACCACAGAGGGAACCTCATCCGATGATGCACCAATCACGGCCAAGGAAGCCTATCCAATTACAGCTGAGCACTACAGCACATAAGTGACACATACTCTAGCGACCTCATTGTCTGAAGAAGATTCGCAGTATACGGGCGAACGTTGGGATCCACATCCAAACTGAACACATCTTGAGACAAACGATTACATTATTTTCTCATTTAAAGGGCTATTCACCATAAAGACTAACCAAAACCTATTTCATAATACAAACAGTTAAATTGATAAAGAAGCTTACTCAAATAAGAAAAAAAAACATTCCTCACCATAAATCACCACTTTGATTTTATCATTCCAGCGTGTAAGGTCAGTGAGTTGGACTTCACAATTAAATGTTTTCCCATCAGCTGCTGTCACATTATTGGCAATTAAGGTTGCTTGATCAGTGGGACTGATCCTGAACTCAGTTTGATACCTTGGAGCAACAGTTAATTTCCCATTTGGATTTTTTATACCTATAATATTGCCATTAATCAACCATGACACACTCGCCAGTTCCCCAGGTGATACAGTGATCTGCCATTCCAACTGTATTTCAGAAACACTGCTCTTAAAGCCTTTTGTTGTGGTTCGGATTGTGTTGCCTTTTTGGGTGTGTGGTGGAGTGGGTTTAGTCCATGTGATGGTGGTACCTAAAATTAAGGTTAAAATGGTTTATAACTCAATGAATGTTAAATATATGAAAATCATACTTTTGTACTTTGGTTTCGTGAAATGTATGAAAGTGATCCCCGCAGTAATAAACCCTACTTGTGTAGTAGTGGGAGTTGGTATCGCAGAGGTCACGGGTTCAAATCACGTACAAGCGTGAAAATGTTTCAGGCCACATTTCCACTACTACATAAGGAGGGTTTACTACTGCGAGGATCACTTTCATACAGGCTTACAACTTCTTTCAAGAAAATATTAAGGCAACCTGCACCGTCAACGGACATTACATGGAAAGTAGGAGAAAAAAACTTCCAAACACAATGCTATCCACATCTGTTTGAATGAATACCAGAAAATATGGGTGTCTATGCATGGTCCTCTGATATTTTGGTTTATGGCCGAAGATCTCACAAACCCAATCTATGGTATGTGAATGAACACTCTGGTACATGGATCTCCCCTTCTGTTTTAAAATTAAGAGTTGTTCAATGCTTTCCGTGCGTATATCGAGTTATGGATGCATGTGGGGAGTCTGGAAAGCCCGAGAGAAGCGTAAGAGTTGCTCGAGGCGCAGCCGAGAGCAACTCTAGCTTATTGAGTGCTCTCCAAACTTCCCAAGTGCATCCATAACTCGATATACGCACAGCTAAAAGCATGAAACAATTCTTTTATCACATACAACAATTTGGGCGCTGAAAGACGTTTTATTTTGTTGATTGATTACAAAGTTCTCACAATGCAGTACAAAGGCGCTTATTGGCTGGTTATAAACACGCCACGATCACTTCAGCGACAGCTGAACGAAACGCTTCATCTAATTTCTAAAATTGTCGATGAAAATGTCGTTTCTTCGAAAGGGAGTGAATTTTATTTAACAAAGTCAAAATCCGTATGTTGTGCGATCCTCGCAGTAGATAGCGCTATTTATGCAATAGTGAAATTCAGACCTGAAAAAAATCAGGCCTGTACGGGACTCGAACCACTGACCTCTGCGATACTAGTACAGCGCTCTACCAATTGAGCTAACAAGCCAACTGGGAGCAGGCCGTTGTTGATTCGTAATAAACCTTATATAGATATATATATTTTTTTTTATATGAACTTCATATATTCATCGCATCTCATTTATCACTTTCACGGGTTTATTACGAATCAACAACGGCCTGCTCCCAGTTGGCTTGTTAGCTCAATTGGTAGAGCGCTGTACTAGTATCGCAGAGGTCAGTGGTTCGAGTCCCGTACAGGCCTGATTTTTTTCAGGTCTGATTTTCGCTATTGCATAAATAGCGCTATCTACTGCCAGGATCGCTCATCATACGTATCTAATACCGCAAATATATGAACTTCATCTATTCATTGCATCTCAAAGTCAAAATCCTTGATGAAAATGTAACCAAACAAAGTAAAAGTACACAAGTTTCGGTAAACGGGCTTGGTTTGTAAAAGTCAAACACCAGAAGTAGTGGGATTTGCATTTTTGAAAACCATGTTCACATTGCCGTGTACAGTGCAATTATTGCCGAAGACGGACTCCAGGAAATTTGCATTCTTGTCGTGAGCCACCACCACATTGTTATTTTGACGGACAGTAGTACTGGTGAAAGAGGACTCGGTTGTGCCGTTGACAAGGCTGTTTGACAGGACCTCACTGCAACTGCGAAGCTGGGATGTGGATGGCTGCGTGTTGTAATGAGCAAGGCGTTGCTCATTTCTGTGACCGGAAATCGCCACGATGTGCCTGTTTGGAATTCCTGCATTAGACCACAAAGTTATGGCTGTCGCCCTGACGCTGTGGTTGTTGTAGAGCTTTGACAAGGACGCTGTTTCGCTAATGTTTTTCATCATGGAGTCGAGCGAGTTAACTCCGACTGGACGCGCTTCGTACCAGATGTTGTCGTCAAAACTCCAGTTCTTTCTTGGATATTGGAAAAACGACTCGCTCTTCGGGTTTAATTTGGACATGTACAATTTCAAGGCCTTGTAGCCGTCGTTAACGTCGTCTGTTTCGTACATTCAGGCCAGCTTTTCGGTGATTGAAACGTCGCAAATTCCACCAGGACGATTTTTGGCAGCCTCATCATGCGCCATCGTCGCGAAGTTGCGGCCAGTTGGGTCCACTTCAAACTTCAAGCTGGTTGTTTTCAGGGTCCTCTGACCCTCTCGACTTCTTCTGCAAAAGAAGAGGACGATATGGAACCACACGTTACGGGGCAGAGAAAGTGGGCTGCTCAAGGCGAGAACTTGCGAGGATTTTAGCCGCAGCAAATCTTCCTTTTCAATCGTCGGTTTGTGTTTTAAGTTTTCTTTTCCTTGACGTTTCAAGCTGACAACTGTCGCATTCAGCATTTCATTTGACCTTTTAAATCTTGGATCAAAAGTGAGTTCTAGGCCTTTGTTCAGTGGTGGTGCATTCAGATATCTTTCAATGCCGTGACGAAAACCAAAGATATCTGAATGCACCGACACTGAACAAAGGCCTAAAGCTTACTTCTGATCAAAGATTTAAAAGGTCAAACGAAATGCTGAATGCGACAGTTGCCAGCTTGAAGCGTCAGGGAAAAGAAAATGTAAAACACAAACCGGCGATTGAAAAGGAAGATTTGCTGCGGCTAAAATCCTCGCAAGTTCTCGCCTTGAGCAGCCCACTTTCTCTGCTCCGTAACGTGTGGTTCCATATCGTCCTCTTCTTTTGCAGAAGAGGTCGAGAGGGTCAGAGGACCCTGAAAACAACCAGCTTCAAGTTTGAAGTGGACCCAACTGGCCAGAACTTCGCGACGAAGACGCATGATGAAGCTACCAAAAATCATCCTAGTGGAATTGCCGACGTTTCAAGCACCGAAAAGTTGGCCCGAATGTACGAAACAGACGACGTGAANACAGCCATAACTTTGTGGTCTAATGCAGGAATTCCAAACAGGCACATCATGGCGATCTCCAGTCACAGAAATGAGCAAAGCCTTGCTCATTACAACACGCAGCCATCCACATCCCAGCTTCGCAGTTGCAGTGAGGTCCTGTCAAACGGCTTTGTCGACGGCAAAACCGAGTCCTCTTTCAGTAGTACTACTGTCCGTCAAAATAACAGTGTGGTGGTGGCTCACGACAAGAATGCAAATTTCCTGGAGTCCGTCTTTGGCAATAATTGCACTGTACAAGGCAATGTGAACATCGTTTTCAAAAATGCAAATCCCACTACTTCTGGTCTTTGACTTTTACCAACCAAGCCTGTTTACCGAAACTTGTGTACTTTGACTTTGTTTGGTTACATTTTCATCGAGGAGTTTGACTATGTTTAAAAAAATTCACTCACTTTCGAAGAAACGACTTTTTCAATAAAAATTTTAGAAATTAGATGAAGCGTTCCGTTCAACTGTCGCTAAAGTAATTGTGGCGTGTTTATAACCAGCCAATGAACGCCTTTGTACTGCATTGTGAGAACTTTGTAATCAATCCAATTAATAAAACGTCTTTCAGCGCCCAAATTGTTGTCGTATCTTATAAAAGAATTCTTTCATGCTTTTAGCTGTGCGTATATCGAGTCATGGATGCACTTGGGAAGTTTGGAGAGCACTCAAGAAGCTGGAGTTGCTCGAGGCTGCGCCTCGAGCAACTCTTACGTTTCTCTCGTGCTCTCCAAACTCCCCGCGTGCATCCATAACTCGATATACGCTTGCTAAGCATGAAACAATTCTTAAGTAGCACCATTTAGTTTATAGACAATGCGTGACTGCTGTTTTTAATTAACCACGTTTCATTGTAGATGTGATGTTTTTTTAAATGAAAGTTGCCCGAAAATGTTGGCGTCTCCGGTTGTTTTGTTGATTTTGTAATTAAATGGTTTTCCGTAGGTTTAACAAAAGTAACCGAAAAAACGTTATCAACAGAGACGTTTAACTTTAAAAGTCGCCACAGACCAATTTGTAGTCCTCTTAGTTCTTGCTGAATGTCTTTCAGCTAAAGTTTTCTTCAGCTCCTGTTCCGATAAAGTTGGGAAACGGGCCTGTCGTGCTTCGTTTTCGTTGTGCTTGTTGGCTTGACTGCTTGCGGGAAGGTCGAAAGCCAAAGAAAAGTTTGGTTGGTCTTCCATTTACTGATATAGCTTTCCGAAACTTTAACTTAAGGAACTCACACGGCGGAAATTTTGGAGCTATTTTGAAACTGCACACGTCATTTTATTGAGCACGGGCGTGCTTACATTAAGATTTTGTTCATGTTGATGCAATAGGAGTTAGATAGGACTAGCGCGCGTGCTATGTTATAATCAATCTTAATTCTGTTCACCTCTCAAGACCTGAAATTTGTTAAGTGAGATTCCTTTTGACATGTTAAATCAGTCAAACAGTGTTTACGTTAGACCACGATGTCCACGTAAGAATCAGCAATTCTCTATGGTAATTCAAAGCTTCACAAACTTGTTGTTCACCTTCAAACCGTGATTTGCGATAGTATCTCACACCATTTACTGACATACATGTAATTTTTCTCAAATCCGTCACTAAGGTGATGGCCCTTACTATAAGACCACGTGTAAGGGAATCCCCACAGTGAAGTTCGAGGCGTATGAAAAAGTGAGCACACCTCATTCATAGTAAGACAAAGCAAAGAAAGCAAGTATATTCACATGTAAATGTATTCCACTGGGCTCACTAGATATTTAAATGAATTTGATTCATTTTTCAGTTGCAGATGTGAAATAAATGCAATGATCAGTCGTAAATGCATCACTTACTTCAATTTTAACCAGACAAATTTTCTTAGTTACTGAATTGCATTAAAGCTAGCTACTTCAATTAACTTTGATTAATTCAGCAAAAGAGCAAATTTTTAAAACCAATAAAGAAACACTAGCCCCACAACAAGAGACAGTTTGCTAACGTAATGCAATAGTTGTGCACTTTGGCACGTGTTGTTATTATTGTGCTGAGAATATGTAAGAGTTGTACTCTCCCTTGATGAACAGCTGATATCTGATCACTTAATT